TGCCAGGAAACGTGCTAGACTCCGGAAGCTGTGAAGATGAATAAGCCATGGTCCCTACCCACTGCTCTTCAGAGTCACCCCTAGACTGGGTCTGTTGAAGAACATATATGTAAGCAGTACTACCATAATTCAGTAAGATGCCATCAGCGTGTGTACCAAACACAATACTAGGACAGAAACAAAGAATGATTTGTTACAAGAGGAACTGGGGTTTGACCTGGGAAGACTTCCTAGAGGAAGCACCTTGTAAAACTAAGCTAAGGATGAGTCTAGAACATTCAGGTCAACAACGTGGAATGGAGTGGCGTAGGGGGCTGGGAATCTCCAGCTTCCTATATGCTGATAATTCTTTCATATCACATGACTTCAGGATTCAGGATATTAAGTGATTTACGCTCACTGAAAGGGTATTCTCATATATTGCCCATGCCTGGGTGAATTGTTCTTACTCTTTCAGAAAGTAATTTGGTAAAATGAATCAAGAACCATACAATGACTATACCTAATCACACCTATGTGAATCTATCTGGATGAAATAATGCCCTAAATAAAAGACTATATGCACAAAGATAGTGTTTATGAGAGGATTAAAATACGGGAGAATTGTTAAATAAGCCTCCACTGGAAGACAGGTAAGTGAACTACGGCATGCTTATTAAAGGAATTATTACACAGCTATTCATTTTGAATGTTATTTGACAACTTAAAATATTTATTCATATAATGGGAAATAAAAAAATAAATGTGTGAGTAAGATCACAATTTTACTTTTAAATTCATGTACATAACAAAAAGAGTCTAAGAAACAGCACCAAAATGCTAAAAAAAAAAAAAAAAAATTACAAGGTTGGATTTGGGAGATAATGTTCTCTTCTTTTCTGTTTTCAATATTCCAGGTATAAGATTGTTTTATTCATTTTAAGGAGTGGGGTTTGGGGTTTGTTTTTGTTTCTGATTTTTCAGTCTATGGTCTGAATCTCACTCTCTACAATCTTGGTGTGAATTTCTTCCCAAAATCACCAAGTAAATCTTCTAGCGTCACTTCTTTTTTCACTCTTCTCATTTCTTGGTAAGCACCCAAGTTTAAACACATAATAATATGGTAGATAAGTATTCAATGGCATAGCCCTGACAAAGGAGAGCATATTTCCCTAACTCTGCCTTCCTCAGGCTTCAGGACCCTTAAGAGGAATAACCCTGGACACTTAATACACAGCTTTTGTATGTGTTAGGCCCTTTTCTAAGAACTATATTAGCACTAAGCACTAAGACCCTCTTGTATTCACAGATACTAATTCATTCACTATCCACAACAATCCTATGAGGTGGATATTATTATCTTTTTTAATAGGCAAACAAATTGAGACACATAGGGGTCTTGATAAGGGCAAGTGGATAACTTACACATGGTTATCCAGCTAGTTGGTCAAAAGCTGGGATTTGAGCCCAGGAAGTATGGTTCAAGGGTCTTTGCTCCTCTTTGTTGTATTTTAATGTTTTATTTCTCTTTTTTTTAACTTTTAAGTTCATGGGTGCAAGTGCAGGTTTGTTACATAGGTAAACTCATGTCATGGGGGTTTGCTGTACAGATTACTTCATCACCCAGGTATTAAGCCTAGTACCCGTTAGTTCTTTTACCTGATCCTCTCCCACGTCTCATCCTCCACCCTCTGAAGGGCCCCAGTGTGTGCTGTTCCCCTCTGTGTGTCCACGTGTTCTCATGGTTTAGGTCCCACTTAAAAGTGAAAACATCCGGTATTTGGTTTTCTGTTCCTGTATTAGTATGCTAAAGATAATGACCTCCACCACCATCCATATTCCTTCAAAGGACATGAACTCATTCTTTTTCACGGCTGCGTGGCAGTCCACAGTGTACTACGTTTTCTTTACCCAGACTATCATTGATGAGCATTTAGGTGGAATGCATTCTTTGCTATTATGAACACCTCTATGTACATAAACTAGAAAAATTTAGGGTCTCTGCTCTAATCACTCAAAAGAGGAAGCTTTGAAATAGCTGAACAGACAGGCTGACGAGCATGTAAAACCCACACAGCTAACTGGTGGCCGTGGAGGTGTGATCACTGGGGTCAGAGGGTGGAGGCAGACAGACAGATCTCAGGGGTTCCTAATGTAAGCCCTTTCCCAAATGGAAGTCTCGATCTCTGGCAGCACTTTGTTTCTTTCTGGGTGAGACGATGGCAGATGTAGAATGGCATCTGAAATATGAGCAATCACCTTTGCGTAAATACAGCATCAGAGAGGAATTAGAGGTAGCTCTTAGCCAAACATGAAAAGCATAAAGGGGCTACACGTTTCCTTAAACCAGGTCTTGGTATTTTCTTTATCTATTGTTTCTGAAGCAGACATAATGATTGTTTCTTCTCTGGTGAGTTGTTTCAGATTACAAAGCTTGAGATTTTGCCTAGAATGGTAGACATCCCAGGGCTAGGACAACATTTTCATGGCCATCTGATCTAGACTCTGCCCATTACTCCACTGCTAACATACACATGCAATTTCTTATAACAGAATAGGAGGAACATCCATTAGAAATGATGAGTGAAGAAGCTCTTTAGTTTAATTAGATCTCATCTGCACAGCAAAAGAAATTACCCTCAGAGTGAACAGGCAACCTACAGAATGGGAGAAAATTTTTGCAATCTACTTATCTGACAAAGAGCTAATATCCAGAACCTATGAAGAACTCAATCAAATTTACAAGAAAAAAACAAACAACCCCATCAAAAAGTGGGCAAAGGATATGAACAGGCACTTCTCAAAAGAAGACATTTATGCAGCCAACAGACACATGAAAAAATGCTCATCATCACTCGCCATCAGAGAAATGCAAAT